GGTCGGTGGTCCATTTATTAGTTTAAAATGTTTAAATTGAGTTGAATTTGCAAAAAAAAAATYCAATTAAATTCTTTTTGTTTTTTTGGTCAAAATCATGAATTTTGGCCCAACAAATAGGTTACTAAAATAAAACCCTGGCCCAGTTAACCCGCTGAACTCAAGAAAAATAAATAATATAAATAATCCTTGCAAAGAGAAATCGAATCAGTCCTAAATTATATGAGATGTATTTCCATATACAATTTGATAACAAATGTTATCGGCTTAACCGTCAGCCAAGCTTCGCAAAACATAGATTTGAACAAAAAGCAAAAGGCAGATCCTTAACTAATGTCTTACTATGTCCGGATACAAAGCTTCAAGATGACTTGGATTTACCAACAACAACACTTCCGCAGACTCTCCAATACGGATAATTATGATGATGATGGAGTCTTTGTAGTTGTTTGTCCATGGTGAAAGAAATTTGGCCTTTATGATGAGTGATGCTTTGAGAATCGAGGCATTTTTATTGGGATCTTCTAAGGAAAAAATATAAATCATTTAGGCTGCATTAACGTTTTTTCTCATCTCTACTAATATTATCAACTATGATTTGAAAAATTCGACACTTTACAAATCGAATTTAATAGAAATTTTTCTTTTACTTTCCGTTAACAAAACACCAATAAACAGGTTTGTGACAAAACGGAACAACTAGACTCTTAAGTCATGTTTCGTTCATGTATGAGTTTGTTTGTCTACTGTTTACACTACCATTTCTAATAAATCCGGTATTAAAACAAAGAACTAAAATCAAACTCGGGTGGTACAAGAAATAATACAAATCATTGTAATTATTAATAAGCAAATTATTATGCGGTGGCCGGAAGATGGTCGGGTGGGAGCGGAAGGTTCTGCCAGCCGGTCGAGTGTTTTATATAGTTCTTGAGTTTCTCGGTTGGAGATTCGACGGTCCATTCAGAATAGTGTTGAGTCGGAGAGAAGACATGGCGCTCTCCGTCGTGGCTAAGACACGACTTGGCACCGTTCAAAAACAAATCCCCTTCTGATCTTATGAAACCAGCTTCGGGTTTCTCTTTATCTCCGGCCTATTCACCAAAACAAAGAAACAAATAACAAATATGGCGTATTTGATTCGTTCTTTATTATTAACTGAAATATCTAATCCATTTACCTTCTCAGTGATGTACTTAAAGACAGTCTTTTTCTCACCAGCTTCGTATATGTTGCACTGAGAATATATCTACCAAAACAACATCAAAATGTAATGAGACATATAAACCGATGATGGCAGAATCGTAATTATATATCAACTTTTTCCTGTGACGGACCTGAGATTCTACGCCGGCTCCTACGGCGTAGATGGACCAGTGACAAGTGTAGTTGTTATAGAGATGGATTTTTGCGAAGCGAACTCGAGGGTGTCGCTGACGTGTACCGTCGAAGAAACAGTGATGAATCGTAACTCTTATGCATCGGTCCGTTACGTGGCTCGGGTCCGCTCCTATCAATACTGTCTTGTTGTGGTTCATGAAATGGCATCTGAAAATTTTATTAAAATAGATTCTCTTTTTTTTTTTTTTTGTTAAAGAAATTTAGTAAAATAGTTACGGATCGAGACAATAGTATAAGAAATGTCTAACCATTCTTTTATTTTTCATATTTTTTATTTAAGAGACAAACCTTGAGACGGTAATATCAGTGCTTTCTCGTGTGATATCAATCAAACCATCATAGTAATTCTTGAGGCTACACCGATCAATCCAAATGTCTTTCGATTTCGGTTTGATCTGAATAGCGTCTGCGTCTGGTCCCACACCGCCTTCGAATTCAAGGTTACAAATTATAACATTTTCACATTGT